TCCTCCCCGGTCCAGGCCCTGATCAGGGCTTGTGCAGGAGGCAACCAATCGATGTGTCTCTCTCACACTGATGTTTCTCTCTATCTTTCCCTCTCCTTAAAAATCACTGGAAAAAATATCCTTGGGTGAGGATTAACAAAGAGAGAGAGAGAGAGAGAGAGAAGAAGAAGAAGAAGAGGAGGAAGAGGAGGAGGAGGAGGAGGAGGAGGAAAAAGAAGACATTAACTGCCTCATTATAATGGAGATCAGAGATGTTCATGTTGAGCCTCACCAATGGGATGCCTTTTGTGAAAGTTGTTTAGATGTCTTATTCATCAAAAAGTGTTTGTTTGCCTTTGGTTTTTCCAGATCAAGCATGCCCAACTAAGCAATACCTAGTGCAGTGGTTCTCAACCTGTGGGTCACGACCCCTTTGGCGGTCGAACGACCCTTTCACAGGGGTCAGCAAAGACCATCCTACATATCAGATATTTCCATGACGATTCATAACAGTAGCAGCATTACAGTTATGAAGCAGCAACAAAAATAATTTTATGGTTGGGTCACAACATGAGGAACTGTATTTAGTGTGCAGGACACTGGGCATTCTTTTTAAGACGCCCCTCTGCCCCCAGTCCCTACCCCAAAGTAGCTCCTGAGGAAGTCCCAGGGTGGGGGGATCTCAATTCAAGAGTCTAGGTCAGGGGTCCTCAAACTACGGCCCACGGGCCACATGCAGCCCACTGAAAACATTTATCCAGCTCTCCGGGTGTTTTTGCCACCGCTGTGTGCATAGGAATTTGTTCATAGTTTTTTTTTAAAGCTATAGTCCTGCCCTCCAACGGTCTGAGGGACAGTGAACTGGCCCCCTGTTTAAAAAGTTTGAGGACCCCTGGCTAGGTCCTTCTGTGGGACAGGTCTTGGGTTTGCAGACTTGCTTGGTAGGGAATTCTTACCCAGAACCTCAGATTTTATATAAGATCTTACACAGATCCCCAAACTGTAGCACAAGCCGCGAGGCAGCTGCACCAGTTGATTCAGCTGCCACCAGGGTCCTCTCTCATGCACAGAACCACCGGGGCTCTGGAGGTCCTGGTTGTTGCAACCAGTGTGTCTTCCGTCCTGCCTAGACCCTCCCCCCACTCAGCTTGCTTGCTCCTAAAAGACTGATCTTGCAGGTACCTGGTGCACATGCAGGCAGGGCTCCCATTGCCCTCGGCGTGAGCATCCAACCCCTCTTCCTGGCACTGGAGGCTCTTCATGGGTGGTTTGAACATGCCTGTCTTGCCTTACCATTCACTGGGACCCAGTTCACTGGTCTCTTCACTATCTTTTGCATCTCCTGTGTTGACCTTCCCCACCCTCTCACCTTTTCTCTTTCAAAACCTCCCCCTCTATCCAAGCTCCTCTTGAGAGTCCCTGTTTCCTGGAAGCCTGCACTAGCTGTCCCTGCCCCCACCCCGCCCCCCTGAAATGCAACAGCTCACATAGTTGATGCTCCATAAAGTAGCACCTGATTCTTCGGTGGTTTTCTCTGACTCATTGATGTTCACATGTGTCAGTCTTGTTCTGTTAGGTGATCTGCATGGTTAACTCACAAAGGCAGGGGCATATCAAGGTCTAAATAATATGAATTTCAGCACATGCTGTTAATAGCTAGTTAATAGTTAATAACTGTATTACAGCGCAGCAGTCCTCAGGTTGCAGAAGCTCCTCCATCGTGTTGGGGAGTATGGAGGCGGCTTTGGGGGTTGGCCATCATGGGCAGGAGGTGGGGACTGAATTTGATTGCTGGCAGGTCAAGCCTCCTCCTCAAGACATTCCTTTCTGTAGCAGGTTTCCCTGAGACGTGTGCCTCTCTCCAACTCAAGAAGACTGCATTGGGATGAGTGCAGCATTAACCATGTGGTTCTGGTCCATCTTGCAGGGATTTGAAACTGGACAACATCCTTCTGGATGCAGAAGGTCACTGCAAGCTGGCCGACTTTGGGATGTGCAAGGAAGGGATTCTGAACGGTGTGACGACGACCACGTTCTGTGGGACGCCTGACTACATCGCTCCCGAGGTAAGACCCTGTTTAAGGGCCACCTCCTCCTGCTGCCACAGCTGAGCCAGGGCTCGCCCCTATGGACTGGGTCACCTGGTGGTGCTGGGCGAAGGCTCTGGAAAACCAGGATGGATTCCAGGGAAGAAGGAGATAGGCTTGCTGATTTTTCCTTAAGGAAGTGGTGGTGATGGGGGAGAAATGGTGGAGCAGAAAGTAACAGATCATTCTTCAACTCTGGGCAGGTCCTCCTAAATATTTCTCTTTTATTCCAGTCCAGAACTACCAGTGGAGCTAGGACCAAGAGAAATTTGTTGACTTGTATCCTTGTTTTTACTTCTAAACAGAATAAAGGAGCACCATTGATAAAGGCAGCAATGAACTTAATCAGCTATAATTTGCCTACAGGAAAACCAGGAGTAATTTGCCATTTCTAGTGTAGTGGTGATTCTACATAGGGAGCAAACAGAATCAAAAAGGAGGAGGAGAAGGAGGAGAAGGAGGAGGAGGAGGAGGAGGAGGAGACCTAAAAATCATGCCCCGGCCCATTTACTCAGTGGTTGGAGCGTCGGCCCATGGACCAAAGAGTGGTGGGTTCAAG